AAGGCTTGAAAAAATCTCTTTAATCTGTTGCTATTATTCGCCCTTGCCGTGTAGTTTTCTCTGCATTCCCCGAAATGTGAAAAGCATTTCGGCGAGATTCGCTGAAAGAATAGAGAGGAAGTCTGTTTCGACGTGAGTAGCCAGAATTCTTGCGAGGCGATCGATGGATCTATTCATCCTCGCCTCTTCGCTCGTCATAAATGCCATCCAGGCCGTGTTTGGTATTCCTGACGAAGACGCCGCGTTGCCGCGTATGAATCAGCTTCAGATGAGTGATCCCCCTACAGCTTTCCGGCCGGCCGGCCGGCACACACACACCGCAACCATCTCATACAGCTTCCAAGACGTCCTGTAGGCACCTAGCGACAGTCATTCTTATCTTCTCGTCTCTCTACTGCTTTGCTTAGCCACTATTGTACCTTCAGGCAGCTCACTCATCAGACGCTCACAGGCCAAGAGGAGACACCGAGAGAGAGAGCGAGAGCGTATGCATGATCGTATTTACATACACCCTGAGAGACACCACAAGATTACGGCTCTCTCATCGCCATTGCGGAGACGAGGCCAGATAACAATATTATTTCCTTTCTGGGTTTTACTTTTCCACAGTTTCACAATATTACGACGGTCAGTTGTTTGAAAGTAATGGCTGTGGCGAACTAGAAGCGATGAAGTGTTGGCAGGCAGTTCCTTGAGCGTTAGTGTTAGTGCTGTTGACCGTGCCTGCGGCAGTAAAGACCAGTGATTGACTAGGAAGTTCGAGATGGGTGTGGGGATGGCAGGGGACAGACAGAGGAACAGAGAACCGGAACCTATGTATAAGCAATGGAGGCTAACCACTGCGCCCGCGTCTGCCGTGAGACTGTTCCGCCCGGGCAACAATGACAGGCCAAAGACATGTTTTCGAGAATTCGTCTCTCGTCTTTCCTTTCTCTAGCAAAACACAACGACGACGAGGGTCACGCGAGATTACTTGGAGTGACGACAACGACAGCGTTGTCATCGCCGTCGACGAAGACAGCCAGAGATTTACTCCTCAGTAGCGAGACCGTCGACGGCTTTGGCTCTGGAAATGGTCTATTATGATCGTGAGAGCTTGGAGTTCACGTGTCGCTCTGCCAGCCGCTGCTGCTGCTGCTGCCGCTCCCACTTTCGCTCTTGTACTCACTTCACATCACTTCACTTTACCATCTTCTTATCCTTTCCGCTTTATTGAGATACGACCTGCGGCACATTGTAATAATGTCACGTGCGACATATTCTGATTTGATCATGCGCCCCGATGATTGGTACATTACGGGACTAACTTTGATCGAAACGCAAAGCTGTTCAGTTTTTGCACTGGTGACAAAAGCTCTGTGTTTTGCCAGACCTAAAGTATCACACTGCTGCATACTGATAAGTAGCAAGTATCACATCACCAAGTATAGTGGCGTTGTTGATCTGTTCCCGTGCAGCGACCCTTTTTCAGCATGCCCGTGTTGTGAGATCGAACTTAATCTCGCGTCGGCTTAAGGTCATCGCATACTATGCGAATGTGTTTCCTCGGCCAGATCCAGTTCTTGGGCAACCTTTAGCGCGTGGTGTCGTTTGATGTCATCTACGGGCTTATCCTCCTCCCACTTCACGCACGCTCTCACCACGCTGCCCCCAGCAGCAGGTTGCGCAATCTCGAGCGCAAGCGAATGCGGAGAAAGCGGCTGCCGCAACAACCGCTGCCGCCGCTTCGATGTCGTCGTCGTCGTGGTCGTCGTCGCCACCGCTGCCGCCGCCGCTCGGTCGGTTGGTCGCTCGGTCGGGGGCGAATTTCGCTCTCAGTGGAACGCAAACTCGTTCCGGGGACCAATAAAAGTCGTTAGAAAACGTTCTGAGTTTGATTGAAGGGCATCGAGAGTTGTGAGTTTGCGCAACACCAATCTACTCGTTTCTTTTTATTGAGCTCCCATCATCTCTCGTTTTACTTTCACATCACCTCACTCTTCCCAATCTCAGCTTACGTCCGCTTCCGGCGGCAAAAAGTGAACACGGGTAATCCTACTAAATCCGAGAGTTTATCAGAAAACATGATCACCAAACAGTGTGCACATGTTTCTTCGGTGTCAAACATAGGGCGTATGGAATAGAACCAAATGCAGAAATCGATGTGAACAGTGCCGAATATTCATTCCTGATGTCTCCCTAATGAATCTCTCGCTTCCGTTTTCTCCACCCTTTTTCCGTCTCTTTCTTGAATATCACAACAGCAACAAGAGTTAGAGCGACATGACGACGCCAAATGTGACGCCATCCCTCCAATCTATGCACCCCATAATGGCTATAAACGTGAAGTGAATCCCCCTTCGGTTGTTTCTTAGTCAGATCCTATTTCGCTCTTGGATGAAAGTCGCGTATTGAATTTGGTATGATGAATCATTGGCGATGCTCGGTATTCGGGATGAATAGCCCATCGATGGAACACGGACGGCTGGTGTACAGCACTGAACAGGAGTTGGATGAATACGTTTCCTCTTAAGTCATCTCGTTGTTCTCGTAACGCCAAGGCGAGAAGTACAAAGCGCGTTTACCCCTATACGTCAACTTCATGGACGTTTTTTCCAGAAGGAACCCACGTGCCAGTGGCGAAACTCAAGCCGCCCTCTCGACAAAAATCGCATGCCAAAGGTTTATGTGACCCGATATTGTAGCTGGGGGTATTGATCCGTTGATTCCATTGCTTGGTATCAATCCGTCTCGCTTTATCAAGGCAAACGCTGTTTGTTCCCTAGTTTATTAGCCGGGGATCCGATTTGGCGGTCTGACCTAAAGATAACGGACGATAGCGCATGCCTTAGTCTCTCTATCATTCGATCCGCCCGCACCATGTCGCCCCCTATGCCATAGCACACGTCGCATCGGCTTTTTCAGCAATCCATTCCAATGTTATCGAATTCATCCCTAAACCAAGAAAAGTTAACCGCACTATGAACCCTAAATGACATCGAATCCGTCATCTCATTGCCCAGTTCTCAGTCTTTCTCTCTCTCTCTGTCTCACCCCTGTCACACTCTTCACTAATGTTTTCACACTACGGCCATTATAACCGATTCTATAGCCTATGTACATAATCGCCAGTTGTTTTGAGTGTTGTCAGTGGAAATCTGAGGACTGTCCTTATCTATCAGTACGCTCTATACCCCAGTATCGTTGTGATTTGGAATTTTCAATTTTCGTCCGGGGGGAGTTTGGTCGACGAAATCAATGAGTATCCGATAAGCCCCCCACCATCGCGAATTCGAGGAAACGTACTCTGACGCTCTGAATTATGTGTATGCATATATTGAAGCGATTATCCATTGCGCCACAACATAGTCACTTTCAGATTCAGTGTAAAGCCAAATACCTCGTCCGTCCCTCTCGGCTGAGACTCTCGAGAAAGAGACACAGAGAGAGCCATGAAAAGGGTGAAGCAAATATGCATGTGCAGTGCTTTATCCGTTTTGAGGCATCTCATCGCCGTTCCGTAATCCTCGCCGCTTTCGGGGCCTGGGCGTGCATTGGCGGGCTTAGATGACACCAGCTAAATCCATCCAATTAACAATCTCGATTAACAGCTTAGATTTACGACGATTCGTTACCCCAGAGGGAATGAAACAGACATCTTTTGCAGCTAACCGGTAATACCCCCTATCGAAATAGATTCTTCGATTTGGGTTCATCCTCATTACGTGACGTCAGGTGAAGAGGTCTCGGTCGGCGCGTATCTTATCTTATCTGGGATGTGTGCACATTCCCCCTGTGCCCAATAGTACCTACTGAAGCCTCACATAGATACGTCGCCATTTCCTTGTTCTTTTTGCTCTTGATTCCTCCCGTTCAGACTCGGCTACCTCCACGCACATAACCGCGTTCGTTGTGTGATGGGTGGCATCACTTCTATCTGCGCTCTGCGTGTGTGTGTCGCGCGTCCCGTCTTGAACTTAAGCAAAAACACGGGGGCACTGAAACCCGTTGCCTTTTGCCGCGCAGATTCGCTCCTCGCCGTCCGTCCAATCCCGACACCGTTCTCAATCATGCTATCTCGCATATTACGAATGACTCGTACCTCATGATCAATTGCCATCAACTCAACTCTCACCTCTTCACCCATGCTTCTGTATCTCATTATCAGAAGCTCAAAACTAATCGTCTACCCTCCTCTGCTCATGATCTGCCAATTCCATGCCAACCAAAGAAGCAGTGGTTCATTGGGAAAGGGAAAGTAACGAAGTTTATTTCACTTTCAGAAGATCGCTTGTACTAGCTCCCTTCTCGTATCTGGCAGTTCAGTGGAAGCTTATGTGTGCGCTAATACTTGCGAAGACTGAAGCTTAATCGACGTGAAGTTCGAGCTGGTTTCGGCATACGATAATCGTATCTCGGGTTGTGCCGTGTCGAGATTGGCTTTTTCGAGGGCGGGGACGATTGGGGGCGGGGTTCAGGCTAGGCTAATCGCTCCGGTCCGCGCCAGTCGGTTGCCAAGATCCAGCCCGTCTGACCTTTTCGCCAATACAGTAACCCAAAACTCTTTTGCCTCATTTAGACATTTACCACTTTCACTGATTGGCTGACAATACTGTACTATTACATGATATCCTTAGATCTTTTATGATCAAGTACTTTGAGCGGGTGCTTATCATTTGGTGACGTACTGACATTATCACGGTTCAATATGAATTCTATTACGTGATTACGTTTACATCAAACTCTAACACTTTAATCTGTTCCCCTATTTCTGGTACGAGGAAGCTTATGTGACTTCTTTATCTCTTGATCGCACACGACGGCGATCGTTTCTCGTGCTTGCTTGTCCCGTTGTGCTGTGGCATTTTCGGGAAATGCCTTCGAGTTTCGCTTCGTTTATCGCGATCATTGTTCCGAATGCCTGACGATGGTTTTTCATATCCTGTCAAGTCTTTGTTTTTGATTAGTAGCCATGTTTTTATTTCATTCCTAAATTGATTGTGTTGAGATCGCCGTTACAGATGTTCCCCGTACGGGTGGCGGTGGAAACAGTTCGGGCGCAGCATTGTCTTTCATGCGCTCATGACGGTCATATACTGGTTGACACCTATGCTATTGTATCTGGAACTACAGTATTGAGTCAACTAGTTGAGACGGTTCTGTCAGCTCTTGGACATCCACAACTCGCTCTCAATGCTCGAGGTAATGTTGTTTGATTTGTTCGATTTTCCGGCCATTTCCTTTTCTTCACCCATCCGCCCACTTACTGTTTCTCACGTCAAATTGACTGAGACTTTTGTGATTTCAATGCTGATAAATCGTTAGAAATCGCTTGTTTACTCTCCCATTACTCATCGTTAATTGTGCGTGGCATCGAGTTCGAGCCTTGTCGTCGCTCGCCATGATTCCGCTAGTCGCAGCGAACGTGCGCGCGCGAGTCTTTCGCGCATTTCGCTGTCATGTGGCGATGGTTCTGGTGGTGGTGATGTGTGTATGTGTTATTGTTCGTGTCTTAGTCAATGTATCTCCCTCTCGTTGTCGTCGACTATTTTTGACACTCGTCCAGATGGCATTCCTCACGCCGAAAATCCTCCCCACTCGACTCCCCTCACTCTCCATTTTCACGCGCTTCATTCCTTGTCTTCTCAATGCGCGTAGAACACGTGCCGACATCCTTTCCACATCGGCCCCGCACCAGACACCCGGCAGCTTTTCGAATCTTTTCCGAGTCTCACAAAATCGATTTCTGACTTTTGACAGTACCACGAACTGACGGAGAAATCTCACTGAGATCAGCACGTCTCTCGGGGCATGAGCGCGGTCGATGGCGTTTTCGTTGTCGTTGTCGTCGCCGCCGCCATCGGATCACCTCCCCCCCCCCTCTCCACCTCCTTGTGTCGTTAATTCGGCATGTGAGCGTACATGCGCGAGTTTTCGCCTCGCTGCCATCGACTCCTTCGGGGAGAGAACCTGTTATGGCTTGAGCCTTTCCCTTTCAGTTGCGCAATCGTTGTAAAATCTAGCGAGATGCGATCGCGCATGCCGTTTTCTTTAGGCCCCGTGTTACATACTCGAACCTGTTATCGAGATTATTCGCTTAACGACAAGAGAGGCGCAAGCACACAGCACCCCCCATTTCTCTCTATTCTTCGAAACACGATCAAGCAACACATACACACAGCCACATCATACTTACACACCTCGATTGACGATTGACTGACGGACTGAGAGGCTGACTGACATATACACATAAATCGTAACACCATCTCATACATGAGCGATATTATATGAATGTCTTAACCGATGTTAAAGGACGAACACTTCCGCACTCACACATTCACATTCAAAATCCATTGTGCATTGTCGGGGAACGCGACTCGGTCCCACGGTTAACTCCTCAAAACGATTGCCCATCCGGGGACACCGCGCTTAGAGAAAAAATTGTTTAAGCGTCGAGAACAAGGTCTTAGTATTCATTGTAAGGCCCGAAAGACTAGCAGCAATGCCGGGCTAGACCCTTCGGCATAAAACTGATGATGTTCAGAATGTTTTTGTTTTAGGTCTGGTACAAGTAAACAACTGGAAAGCGCTTCCATTTGAGCAGATCACCGACAATCCGGATGAGACTGTCCATTCGCTGTTCAAAGACATTTCCGGCCATATTACGCTGCGGATACTCACAAAACCGTACGTTTTTACTTCCAGGCTTTCGCTCTTCTTATAAAGGACGATTTTCACTTTTCGTCTTCACTCAGTTTCCCTTGTTGAACGCATGTCGTCGCTATGTGTATGTTGTGTGTGTGTGAGCGTGCGGAAGATTGGCGTGGCGCCCAGCAGCAGTGAGTTGTAGTGAGCGCAAGCGCAAGCGCAATCCGATCCGCCTTTTGTGTACGCGCGAGCGTTGGCGCCATACCTGACGCCTTTTGTGTTTCAAGTCGTTGCTCGAGCTCGTACTCATGAATGCGCCAAACGCGCCACTTCTCAAACAGTACCACCTCGCTTGATGTTTGCGCTGAGATCTCCACCGCAACACATCCAACATATTGGCCGTGGACGGACCAGCTCTGCCGCTGAGCACGGTATCCACCCTCGAACTCAACCCGGCGGTTCCTGTTCACTGTTTGAATATCTGCGCTCCGTCCGACCTGATTACCGTAATCCGGCGACCGGGACCTTCTTAGCGATGGACCGTGACGGCTTCACCTGAGCTGCGCCTATAGTCTTTCACTTTTCAGTTTAGCTAAGGTGCAAGCAACAATCGATAGATTCCATATCGTTTTCATTTCATGCATTTTGCGGATTTTCTGGCGAGAACACGGAATTTGAATACGTAATTATTTGCGATCCTTCGATCCCGTGAACGCATGCGCTACGTGGAATACGGCGACGGCTTTTATTACCTGATGATAACGAGCAAAGCTAACAAAATGGGGATTAGCGTGTCAACACATTCACGGGAAGCGTCACACTAAACGAACTTACAGGCAGGGATTCATCAGGGATGAAATGTGAAACGATTTGATTTCAGTATCTCATCCGATTCGGCCAGCACACAATGTATAACGGATCTCAAGCAGCGACTTCTAAAGACGGCTGTCTCGAAGAATCCGCAGATTCTGAACAGTGTGGATAATCAGCAGATAAAGGTCATAGTTTTGAACGATGATTTTTCTATACTTCTGACCTTTTCTCTCTCTATCTCTTTCTTCTCTTGACGAATTATTTGCTTTGTAGGAGCTTATCAATCAAGTAATTGCCGGCGACGATCCGGCTATCTTGAACCACGAGCAGATAAACTCAATCAACGAATGGTTGGAAACACTCGATCAAGGCGATGAACGACGAAGGTTAGTCGATCGACCATTTAACCGACGATGCCGAATACCGTCGATCCGGAAAACAAATACTCCGAGGGCCGCATATCCCTCATTGGAGCGGATTACGATAATCTTGTTAGTCTACCGTAATCCCGGCAAGTTGTGAGCGGCTGTCTGTTGTGCTTTGAGACGGATAAGCTTACGGGCGAGGCAAGAGCACCGATGAGGCAATGAGGGATTCACGAGGTTGCAGACTGCCAGTGAAATGACAGAGCACATGGATAGCGGAGTTCTATGATGAGGGTGTGGGAGAGACGCGCGCCCGCTTTCTCCCTCGATCCCGAAAGCTATTCCACTATTTGACGCTGAAGTTAAGCCTTTGGCCGAGGCTGGCCGTGTATTTGTATATATTGTCACACAGGCCTCACACACCACCCGGTTATAGTTTAGCGAGCACGTTGGCAGCAATGATTCAGTAGAGAATGCTCTCACTCGCGCCTCTCCACCTCTATCCTCACTTGAACTACGGAAACGGACGAATAAGCGAGTGTAGACCACGGGGCAGGGATGCAGGCAGGCTGTTGCGGATCAACTCTCGATGCCTCGGATACGGTAGCGCCCGCACGTCCCCTCAATTTCCTGGCGTATCCGAATGGCAGCCAATCACACGACTGATTATCTCGCTTAGGATAGGGGAAATTGGCTGAGGAGGCAACAACGCCCCTGGATTAGAAGGCGTCGATTCGCCACACTCTGGCAAATGTACAATGCCTCGCTGCTTAGTCTCGCTGTCGTCGCTGGGACCCAGTCAGACGACGGGGTTGGGAGGAAGGGAGCGGATGAAAGGGAGAAAGTCGGGTCGGGAGTTGTTTGCACGGCTACGCTTTCCGCGAATCTGTTTTTAGTCGTGGCATTTGGGGCGAAGTGGCGATGGTAGTGGTAGTGACGTGTTTCTAACGACGCTGGATAATTGGCGCCTTGCCATACAAGGCTAAGTGATCTCGAGAGACGTCGCTTGGTGGTAGGAACTCGTTTTCTCGTGTCAGGTCTTGCACACACAGGTGAATTAGATTGTTTTGCGACAGGGCTATGGCAGCAGCGGCCAAAACGGTTCCACTCGACACTGCTTTTGTGTCTTCGAGAGTTAGAGTCAGATAAGCGGGTTGATGATCGAGAAACAGGTCTCGGGGCGCCCCTTGGCGCTGAAGTGGCGTTGGTGATCGTTCGTATGTGGCATGAGGCTGCCTGCCCTCGATCGGTTGTTCGTCCGGCTGGCTGGTAAAGGGGGGAAGAGGACAACGAACGCACTCACTTCACATCTTCTCAGTGGTGTTGAGGTGATGGGGGGTGAGGCTCGTCGCCTTGTCTCTGCGTCTGTTCATCGCCACTTGTTCTCTCGTCAAGCGCCTGTCAAACACCTGTGCATGAAAGCGAAAATCTCGCCCCCGGAAACTCGTTCCTTGTATGAATCTCTTGCGTAATGCGGCTCCCCTTGCCTTCCACCCTTTCCTTTTCCCCCATGCCAACCCAATGGCGGGGCGATAACTCGAGTCAGCCAGCCGACTGGGGTGAGAGCGATTGATTGAAATCGAAAGTCCTTACGCTGCGCTGTAAACATAATGTCAAAAATCCTCTGTGACACGTCTTACAAGCATCTTCGGAATCCAGGCGATTATCGTAATCATCGAGATTCTGTCATTTTTGGCCAGACTGCTAGCCGTATTCGGTCAATGCAGTGGTTGTGGGGATCCAATTTGCATGATATCATATGGAAATGTCGAACAAGAAAGCGGCTGCTTATTCAACATCTCACTCCCACACTACCCCCCCCCACCCCACCCCACCTATTCCGATCGATCCGATCCGTATATGTACATTTTCACTTATGCCATCTGACTTCATCGATTGTCTGATGCCAATCGATCGGGATTTGACTATTTTGGACAGCGTACGTGTGGGCAAGGGGGAGGGGGGAATGTTTGTGATAAGCCGCGACCCGCCAGGATCACTTCCATACGAGGGTGTGTATACATATAAATTATCGATCTGATATTGAGGGATGCATGGGGGCGAAAGGGGGGTGAAAAAGGGGCCGTGATGAAATTTGTGGAAGATGTTAAGAAGATTTCCCCATGAAAGTGACGTCCCCGTGTAAACATCGTTGGTGCTGTAGTCTGAAATGCTCAAACAGGGCTAGCTGGGTTGAGGGAATGCCAAATGGTGCGACTTCATTTTATGCTGGCTCAGATGACGATGAGGAGGCGTCGATGTGAAGGCGTCCGTCAGACTCAATCAATGATTTGGGTGTTTTGTATCAGGTGGCTGGAATGAGACGGCTGAGTCATATTTCTTCTTCGAGAAGCTCTTTATATGAGAATGACGCGTTTAACCAGAAAATCATCGAAGTTTGTTGAATAGGGTGAAGACATGAGGGATCAGCAGAGACCTCTTACGCCCCCTACTCGGCGCTCAGGGTGACCTTCTCCTCTGTTCTTAGACAGCTCTTCACTCTGATCGCTCGTTCACGGGCTTTGCACGCCTTTTTGTATCTGATCGAGGACTACAAAGCATCGCTGCCGATGGTTGTGGGAAACCCCTCGCGTCGAAGGCTAGGGAGGAGGGCGAGGGGCCAGAGGGAAGAGGAGAACAGCGGTCATCCGGGGCTCTTTCTGTAAACACATTCACACCCAGACATACACATTGTTCGTGTCGATCGCGCTAAATCTGGGATGTTCCCCAACAATGGCAAGTCACCGCCCAATCCTGTCAATCAAGCAAGTCTCGAACGTTCATTACCGACATGACATAAAACATTCCTGGTGGATCGTTTTAAACTGCTGATCAAAGTACTCTGATCGCAGCGGCTGAGAGGGCACTGGTGTCACATACGCAACTTTTTGGCGCCTGATTTGTTTCGATTACGATCAAGTGCATAAGGGGACGGGCTGAATGGATTCAAGATTAGTTGTTGACATTCACGGGAATAAAATAAGTGCGTCACGCTGGTGGCCAATATCAAGTAGCGCCGCATGCCACAAACACGCTACGGGGTGAAATCCCGTCTGAGACCTCACCCGGGCCAAGCGAACCTCAATGAGTAACCACTGTGTTCAATTCAAGTAATCTTGGCCTAGCGTGAAGTACTTTTGTATAAATTTGTGGAGCCACAGTCAAGAAGTCAATAAGGTTCCTTCGCCTAAGTTTTCCGCCTTGTCCCCTTTGTCAGAAACTGAAAAACCAAAGATAAGTGCAGTTTACTTCCCCCCGCCTCGAAGCACACATCTTTATGGGGTCGGTGACTGCTACCAAATTCAATCAAAATGCTGTTTTTTGCTTCGGTTGATTCCACAATTACTTCCATGTTGGAATAATTAACACATTTAAAAAATCAACCACGAAATTCTGGAATAGTCGAGTGCACGGCGCATCCCAAAGCGAATGATCGGCTCGAAAAATTTTGCCCTTGATTCTTTGACTTACCAAAACAATACTTTGGCAGTCCTATTGAATTTAAATCCTATTGAGTTTCAGTCCGATCGCACAAACTCGTTTCAATCAGCTGTTCGAGGTGCCGAAGTTGGAAAAATGGTTCAAGACTGATTCGAGTCCAAGCCGTCAAAAGCTTCTCAACTATATGAATATCCTCAATGGAAGCAGTTATCGTCGAAATCACCAGAAAATCAGTTATCAGCAGGTGCTGACATTGATAAGCTAATTGATTATTATTTCATAACTCCTTAGCGCTTCATTAGGCCCAGCCAGCTTATAAGCTTAAGATCCGTTGCCTCTCCTTGAGAAGGTTGAATGCAGCAAATAGAAATTGCTTCTCAATTGATTTCTTAACATTTTTTCACTTCCTCCTCTTATGTTGTTTATTCCTATTTGAGTTATTTCGCTAATATTTCTTACAGTGTTTACCAGAATACAAACCAGTACACAATTTTGGTATTTTGTGTTAGCGATAGGAAATCTGGTTCGTATTCAATGCATCAAGTACCTAAAAAGTATAGCGATTTCCTTAGTGAGTCGTGAGAAATGGTAGAGACCAGTGCGATGTGTTGTTGTGCCCCGAAATGAATTCATAAATTCGGATGATGATGTAGGGTTATTGCTAAGGTCTATGAGATCTGTTTCTCTCTCATACGATTGCTCATGAACCCACCTTTTTTGAGCCCACGACGGTCTCAGCAAACAACCGCTTGACTGTTGCCCTATGAATCCATGATTTTACTTTTGTTTAGCATTACATTGTTCAGATCTGTAACTGGTTTGCTAACCAACGAGCATCGTCACGTCGACCAGCGTTAGCCGCCGCTCATACACAGGTTAATCAGCAGGTGGGTGAGGTACGAAGAATGACTGCCACTTCTTTCCTCTGCCTTTGCTACACATATACTCTCTCACTCATTTCGAAAGACTTCAACGAATTCATATGCACTTAGGTACCCAGCATTCCGACGATGTTGCCCGATTTTCGGCCCAAGTTCGATTTCAACAACATTATCGAAAGCTGCCAGAAAAGCAGTAATGGAGACGTGCGTCATGTTCAATATCATGACGTCATCATATCAGACATTAATTTGGGGAATTTTGTTGATATGTGATGTGTGTGTGTTCAGGAAAGTCGCATCGATGGTGGTTCGGATTCGCCGACACCGAATGACGATGAACTGCACAGTAATAGTGACGGAGCGGAAATGTCCACATTCCCTCACATAAAGCAGGTCGGTGAGGTACGTGATTTCCCGACCGTTTCACCCATTTCTCATCTCCGTTGACTTCTTATCCTTCCTCTGACATCTCAAATGTATAACATACTTGTACAGTACACCTTGAATTGAAAGGACTGTTTGACGAGACCAAATCAAGTAAATATGTAGTATTTATATGTACAGATGGCTGAGGATAAGAGGACAACTTGCTCGAAAGTGCACACATTCTCGACTATTGCACGCAATATGGCACTGGTCCTAGCACCCGAGTTTATTCGGCGCGAATTTTTCATCTGAAACTCTTTCCCACTCTACCCGCCCACTCACCAGCCCGACCTTAGCACACCGGCTTATTCGAAACGGCTAGATGTTATCTAGTGAGGTGTTGGTTGGGGTCTGGCGATATGACCTTGTGACGTTCGGATTTCAAGATGAATGCCAGCGAAACGAAACGGACAAAATCACCAACGCCTGACCGATCGAGAGGGACAGCAGAGGTCTGTGAAAGTGTCCACACTTAGAAGGGTGCCCATCAACAGCATCACTCCATCTGAAGCTCTGCGACTATCGCTCCCGAATATGTTTTCAATGGGCTTCATCATAGAGATCGACGCCGCCGAATGTCTGACGAGCCGAGCTTTTTTTCGGTTCAAGACACCGAAAGAAGCTGCTATGAACCGTGCCGGCCTCGGCTCCTTTGAATGCTACAGTACGCTCGTGGCCATCTGGAGGAAAACTGAATCCGATGGTAAACCACGTTGAGAATCTCTCCGTAGGCTTGCTAGATCTGTTGGCCCGTTTACGCCTCAATTTCCTAATAGGATTACCAGTGCTCGCGTCTGGATTTCTGTGAAAGATCCACGATCATTGAAGATAATGGAACGCATGGACCACAGATGGTTGTCGGGTGTGTTTCGGAGATTTCGGGGCCCGTTTCAGTCTCTCACGAGCCGTTTCAAATGAAGAGGCGCGAAGTGTGTTTTATAGAGCGGAAGTGCTATCCTATTGCCCACTGAGTCACACTTTTTGTTTCACTCCGTCAATCTCACCCCTCACTTAATTTTTCCCCTTGTAATCGTGGATCGCAGAAAATGAATGTTCCCTCAAGTACATAGCCGACCTTGCACAAGAACTGGGTAGGGGAATGGGCGCTATCGCAAGATACGGGAGCATCCTTCAGGTCTAAGCCTAAGAATTGGTAGGATTCTCGGGAAAATGTGAATCGCTGATGAACCCTGGAGCTCCTCCTCCCCCAACTAAGGCTTAGTCCCGTTTCTAACAAAAAGGAGATGTCTTGCGCTGTTTTGTGAGCGTTGCCTCCACAAAGCCCCCTTATTTTGTGGTAGCGCCGGGAAAACATACAGTGATTACTGGCTTCTTTTTGATTTTTTCAATAACATTGTGGTTTCATTATTAAAGTTAGACTAAATAGTACGCTTTTAGGAATCAACCGCCTCTTCACCGGACTTGTCCGTGATAAATTCCATCGCTAGCTCATCTCCGAAACATATTCCAAATGATCTCTCCATGGGAAACAATTTAAGTGGAATGGGAATTGGATCTCAAGGTGTGACCAGTGAACGATTTTTAGGATAAAATTACCATTTTTCTATGATCATTTTCGGAACTGACTTCAGCCTGTTTTCAGCAGCCCGTTCACGACTGATGTTTGATCCATTGACGGAGTTGCCGATTCTAGAAAAATGGTTCGAAGAGAATCCACATCCGACGTGGATGCAAATCGATCAATATACACAAATGTTGAATGGATGTCCGTACAGAGAGAACTATCCACATATCAGTCAGCATAATGTCAAGGTAAACTGTTTACCGATCGATATGAGGAATGTCTGAAAAAAAATCACCCCACCCTATTTCAGATTTGGTTCAAAAATCGCCGCGCCAAATGCAAACGTATGCAGACCGGCATGGTTGAAAAGCTGGAGAAATTATTTGCGTGATATGTGAATGAATTCGAGAATGATCCGTAGATGATGATGATGATGATCGTCATTATTTTCTTATAGAGTTCACCTAATGGTTCATTCATTTTGTTCGTATTCATCTTGTTCATTCATTCATTCGTTCATTCACGTTCATCATTCTCATTTTCTCCTGCTATCGCTTTCTGTGTGTATCTTACGTACCCTCGTAACTTGTTCGGGTCAAATAATTCTTAATCCGTGTTGTGGGAGTGCCTTCTCGCCGCGTAATGGCTCTAGTCTAGATGATACCCATTATTTTTGTCGAGGAAATGTCGTATATTTATCCCCCCTCCCCCCTTTCACTCCTTCACGAGCGTCACGGCACGTGCCCCGTATGTCATCGTTCCTCGCTCTTTACTCCTTATCCCCGTCATTATCCATCCTTCCTTTCATCAGCCGCCTCGTTTTGGCACACGCGTAGAAAGTGCTAGCCGTGTATCCGCTGTTCTCGAGCCACTTTATTGAGTTGAAGAGTTTTAATGATGGTCCTCAATTGTTTCACTTATGCTTTTCAAATTGTGACGAATACTTTATAGATTGCTTTCAAATCGAAAATGTTGTTATGTGTGAATAGTTTTCCCCTTTATTGTGTGTGTACGTTTTTTTCTTCATTTGTGTCTTTGTGTTTTCCGGATTAGTGATGTCGAGTAGTGTTTTCTTTTCTCTTTCTTTCTTTCATTCTTGTATCTTCTCCTCCTTTTCATCATCTCTCCAACCACAGCGTTGTGTTGTATATAGGTCGCGTTGGGTTAGTGTTTGGGGTGTAAAAGCTTCTGCAAAACCCCCCATATGTAGCTTTGACCACTTGGCGTAGCCGACAGATGAGGTGCAGTTGAGGTCGACCGATCTCATTCACCACAGCCTGCATCTTCACCCATCTACCCACCATCAAAGCCTCTCGTGTCACACCCCATTCTCACCAACTTTCTGTCATTCTCTCTCAAACCTTCGCCTCGCATCTACGTACGACTTCCGACGTTATCGCTAATCGCACGTTGTCATGTTCCTACTTTAAATACCTACTTAATAATTCGTCGCTCTTGCCACATTGTGTCAGTTATCCTCTATAATAAAGCTTTTCAAACGTCTTGTTGTTGTTGTTGTTGTTGTTGTTGTTGTGGTTGTTGATGCTAACGAGAGCCCCCAGAATCGGAAAATTGAAGCGAACTAGCTTGTAACTCGTTACGGCTACAATGAGTTCCCGTGTTAACAAAGGTCATCGGTTTGTCTGGCCCTACCAGGCTAGATTTGTGATTTTCGGGAGGGATCGCATTCAACAAAATTGAGTCACACTTCTAGGAGGAGTGAAGGAGAGGAATTTCAGAAACTTGGGGTTCCTTTCCTAAAATTTAGAGATGTCTGGAAAATTTTGGCAAAATTTGCTGTTTCAGCAATCATTGTCTCCTTACCAGCCGCCAAAGACGCAGCAAAATAAGATTCCATCTCTCAACCCTTCTTGAAGGCTGAACTTCCTTCCTCCCTAGCTATCGAACTCTTGTTCCTAAACCTGGGAAAACTACACTCGGCTCTTCAAAGCCAACACTTTCAGACGTCCAATTTGAAACGGGAATGTGAAAGTTGAGCTATAGGCTACTTTGGACATATGTCTTAGCGGGCTAATCAAACTTGCTTAGACGCCTTGTCGCGTGGCTAAGCCAGCCCTCAAGACATGGTCCTTTTCCTGAATCATTTTCTGGACCATTCTCTTGGGCTCAGCCGCTGCGTTTTCCATATGTAGCAAACCCATGGGACTAGAGCAGGCAAGCCGAGGCAGAATCAATGCTCCGGCTGATAGGATCAGGCGCGGGGATCGTATTCTGTGATTTTGATCTGTTTGTAAGAGGCAAAATGAGGTGGTTCTGTGGATGACATGGGAGGAGAAACTTTTCAAAAATGACAAAATTTTAGCGACATCCAGAAAGATACTGGAACCTTGAAATTTCGGCAAATTTGAAATTTTTTCGGCAAA